CCCCAAAACCCCAAAACCCCAAAACCCCAAAACCCCTTCCAACAAACATGGGTTAATAATAAATATATAAACCAACTAGGTAAGTATGAGGCTTGTCTAGTTTTCATCATCCATCAACATGCACAAGTTAATGAAGTTCTACAAAAATTCCCAGTAGAGAGACTCTGAGTTAACCCAACTGGAGAACCTCATTCCCAAGAGTAAGCCCAGGGAGTAAACTCTAGATGAGATGGACCATCTGAACGAACCTCGATGGATTATATCAAGAAGGTAAGCCTCTTTACTCATAAGAAAAAATATCTTGGAGCTTCGAGGAGATGGAACTTTAGAAATATTAAAAGTCTTGAGTGAAAATTTTTCTAGTCTTAAAAATTATTCTGAACAAAATATTATGAAAGAGAATCTTAACATCTATATTTGCATTGAACAAGAATTAACGAAAATTAAGACTGCGTAATTTTAGTTCTAAATATTTTCAACCCAGTTAGACGGCTATTTTATTTGCCAATTAGCAATACCAATGGAATGTTTAAAAATTAATTTCTGTTGGAATATGTATATTTTCTCCATTTTATGAGAACGGTTACACTTTGGGTAGATAAAATGTCCTCATACAATAAGCAAGAATTTGGATTTCAGAACACAAATTTCTAACTTATTGGTATAGTCAGGTAAGATGGCTGTTTGTGTTTATGAGCTTCGTAATTCTTATTGTATGATTCCTTGCTAACCCACAGGTTTGAATCAAGAATTGAGACAGAAACACATTGTCATTACTATTTTGGGTTCAGAGTCACTTTTGAGTTTAATGTTGCCATTCATTTTATATGAAAATTTCCTAAATTTTCAAATACTCTTATCGTTTTTAATGTGTCAGGCATAATCATGTCTCTGTTTTTATAGTTAACCACAAAGAGCACGGTTATGCATTCTTTCCAGGAATAAACCTTCATCATTTTTATAAGGAGATTTCACTTTGCAAATTAGCTTTGGCGTCTCTCTCATAAAAGAAGATGCCAAAGCCAGTTAAAGAATGGCTGATTTCTAGGTAGAATACCCGGATTTTCGGTCTTTCTAGCCGGAGATCTCCAGAAGAAATCCTGCTCAAGAAGATTGAGATCAGGGTATTCCACATGGAAATTGTCCCTTCTTGAAAGCAAAGTGATGTCAAAAGATTGTAAAATGAAGTCACTTTGCCTTTGAAAAGGTCTATCCCCATGTACATGCCTATTTTGACTCCTTCTAAAAGGCACTTGATAAGTCTGATTTTCACTCTCTCTGTGGCCACTGACTTATATATCTCAGTTTACAGATTTAGAGAGGTCAATGAAGCCCTAATAGCTTCAGAATTGATGCCAATTATCGCACTGGACCTTAGAGTTAGGCCCAAACAGATGAGGCTTTCTCAGATGTACAGGATGATTCTTGAGAACAACAAGCTAGCTAAGGAGAAACAATAATTGTGCAGCAATCTCCTCACCCAGTTTTGATACTTCCTCAGAAAATCTCGAGATTGTCCAAGTGATATTTGAATGATAAATCTGAGGATAAAATAACTTATTTGAAACAGAAGATCCAGGAACCGGATAAAGTCAAGGTCACCACGAGTAATAAAGATGAACATGACAAATTAGCAAGAAGCCTTACTCTTCTCTAGTATTTAGCTTAGCATCATTATCAAAGACAGAATAAGCTAAAACGAATCCAAGACAATGCTATCATTCAATTCAGAAGCACTGGGGCAAGGAGAAAAGTATTTATTTGAGTTGGATCACCAAATGTACCCACTTAGGATTTATTCCCATTGGAGAGTGCATATTTATAGTATTAAGAAATGATTCAGGCTAGCTAGACAGTATAAATGATGGATTAGGCAAAGAAAATAAACCAATTAGAAACTTCAATATAGAGTCCTTAAAGACTGAGTGGAGGAGACACTCATCAGTAATGTTTGTATTTATTGACATTATTGACATCATTAAACTCGAACATGTCAAAACCAGAATCAAAAAGCAAAAGATCATGTATGCAAGTGTGAGTCACGAGTTCAAAACTCCACTGGATGCCATCATCAACTCTTTCAACTCCATCAAATCAAGTTTTGAAGAACTACTCAGCACTTTCAGACAGAAGATTCACTAAGGTTAATTCTTAAAAAGAAACATCACCATGAACTCTGAGATCATCTCGAAGTTTGTGGAGACCAGAGCCACCTGGCCAGTGCTGCTTCTGACTATTGTAGATAACATTTTAAACTTGCCTAAAATCGACAACGAGACCATGCAAATTAAGTTCTTTTTGTTCAGTGTTTCAGAACTGTTCGATGAAGCCCACTTGTTGTTGGAAGTCCAGTGATAAAGCAAAGAAGTAGACTTGGTCTTGAGTGTGATGAAGAACTCCAGCTGTGTAAAGCCAGTTCCCACTGCAACAGAATAATAAAAATCTTGTTGAACCTAGTCTTGAATAATTCCAAGCTCACATTCAGCGGCTTCATTAAGATTGAAGCAGCTCTTACAAAAACTTTGGATGGCTCTAGCTTTGTTGAGTTCAGAGTCAAAGACACTGGAACAGGCATCAAGAAGAAAGACCAAGAGTGTCTGTTCAAATTATTTGGTGTTATTGATGACAATGAAGACTTGAACCCAAATGGCTGTGGCCTGGGCCTGACAGTCAGCAAGAAGTATGTTGAGTTATTAGGAGGAGAAATCAAGATGAAGTCAGTTTACGGACAAGGCACAGAAATGATATTTACAATTCTTGTTCAAGATAGTAAAGCTCAATCATCTAATAGAATTTTATCCGAGATCAATATTGTTCAAAATGATAAAACTGAAAGCACATCTGATGGATGTATTCAAATAGGTGATGAGTACAGTTTGTTCCAAAGTGGTGTCAACAAACTCCACATAAGCAAATTTAATAATCCTAAATTTAGTTTCTTATAATTTGCTATATTTCTTTTCTGGCTTCAATTCTCATATTATATCTTGGGGTTTTGGGATTTTGGGGTTTTGGGGTTTTGGGG